GGGGGGGAAGGGGTAAAAACAGGATGTGGGTCACACCATTTTGAAATTCTTAAAAGGAGTGGACTGTCTATAAAACTACACATAGGGCTGGATCATTTTTCATTTCCTGCATGGGAACTTAGAGAGGGCATCATTTATCATTCTCGTTATTATACTCGGCCAGCAAAAGAAAGACCTCCATCAAATGCAGTTTTATCCCCACCCCTCCCACCTTTACTTTTTGAGCAGATAAATTAAGATACTGTAGTTCTGTTAGAATGGAAACTTATAAAAAGGACTTACTCTTTTCCAGAGGTGGATTTATGTTGATTGCTGCACCACACCATTCAGGCGAGGTGATAGACTTCCGTGAAGTTGCACCACAGTCGGCAACAGTGGATATGTTCAACAAGAGTGCTAACATGGCTCAACAGGTAAGGCAGCATAATTTACTGCGAGCAGCTGTTACTGAAACATCCTTTCCAGGGCACGAATTTAGCAAAAATTTCAAAGTAACTAGCAATTGAGCGCGACAAATAACAAACATTATTTGATACAGGTTCCAAAGCCTTCCTTTGATTTCTGGAAGTGCTCGTACTCAAAACTTAGCTAGTTAAATTTTTGTTACTCGCTAAATACAAAATTTCACTCTCATATGTGAGTTTGTGAGCATTAATTTGTGTCCTTCAGTTTCTTTATTTTCTTTTCATGTAACTCATACTTTGAAAAAAGTTACCTAAGTTTACCATGGTAGTTAATGTATATTGGGTCACAACTGCTATATTAGATACCACTGCTTTATTAGATGTGAATATTGTCAATGTCAGGGCTTGAAATAACAGCCAGTCATTGGACAATGTCTGGCCAGAACTGGGTCAAATCTTTGCCTTGCTGGTCATTTTGACCAGTAACAGAGAGCCAGTAATGAGGTTTGACTAAGCTTTGGCTGGTGATCATGACTTGCGATTGACCGGCCATTTTTTTACAGCCCATTTTTCAAGTTTCTGCCACATAACTGACTTCAGACAGTTGGAACCATTTGGTGTTTTGACTACTGCAAAATCAAACTTACCACTGGCAGAGTGCATTCTGATTGCTAGTGATAAATATTCCTTCGACTCAACAGCCATTTTCCCCTGGGAAAATATTTATCATTCATTATTGGGAAGCACTTGGACAGTGGTAAATTTGATTTCCGTAAGCGAAAATGTCAAACGGCTCCAAAAGTCTCGAGGAGAGATTTACATCGCAGAAACATGAAACATGCTCTAAGCCCTGAATGTGTTCTTTCCCTTGCCTCAAAAGAATTTGTCTCTGGTACTGCTCATAATCATATAAGTAATACTTTTTCATTAGGGAGGTCTTTCTGTAGCTGTACCAGGTGAACTTAGAGGAATGGAGTTGGCACACAAAAAATATGGAAAGTAAGAAATATGTTGCATAGAAAATACTTTGATACGATGGCTATCATAAAAAATATTAAGGGCCAAAAAAATACAGTTCGCTATCTCATAAGAAGATGGTAGCTTATGAGAGTAGTCATTAAAAGATATTCGACTGTAGTGCTCTTTAATAGAATGGAACAGAATGAAGAATACTATTCCAAATAGATTTGATATTAGAAAATATTATGCTCAAAGTAAAAAGGATTTGTACCTAATTCATAACACTTAAAGACAGAGATTAAACTTAGAGGCAAAGCTTTTTGCATTGTTGAAGACAAAGGATAATCAAAAATACAGAATAAAGGATCTTGGAATGAACTTAGTTGGTACAGTATTTATTAATAAGCTTTTTATGGACTATTTTATAATTGTATGATGATTTCTTTTAAAGGCTGAAATGGTCAGAGTTGATAGAACCTTCAATCAAGCTTGCAAGAGATGGCTATACTCTCTCTAATCACACAGGTAAGAATTATAAACTATGGGGTGAAGGGCATAACGCAGCCTAAAAGTGTGTAACAAAGCTTAAGAGGGAGAGGGAGAGGGAGAGGGAGAGGGAGAGGGATGGCTAAATGCTGTGCAGGGAGCACAAAACGGGAAAATAGAATGTATGGTATAGTAGGTGTGGGTTGGTATAGAACGAGACTATACAGGCACATTATTACTATGCCTACGGGATGTTGGAGTGACAACTGTAGATTATGCTTGCTGTTTTTATTTTCACAGCCAAAGTTCTTGGCATACCTCATGTACAGCGTAAAATAAAGAAGAGTAAACAAATGATGGATATGTTGATGCCAAATGGAGAATATTTAAAGGTAGATATTTCATCACACTACAGAGTTTTTATGATATCATTTATTAATTCGTTTGGTTGTGTATTTGTTCTTTTATTTGTATATTTATTCATTCAATCATTTGTGCTCTCATTTCTTTATTCTGTCATTCACTAATGACTTTTAAGGCTGAATGACTTCACTAATGAATTCACTTATTACTTAATTCATTCTTTATTAATGTTTGTTTGTCCTCCCATTCATTCATTCATTTACTCATTTATTTTTTCACTTGTCACTTGCTATGCTGTTAGGGTATAAATCGTTTATTCATTCATTCCTTATTCTCTTTGATTGATTTGTCGTTTTTTTCTTTCACTCTAACATTCATTTATTCATCCATCCATCCATCCATTTATTTATTTGATCATCAATTCATTCAATTATTCATTCATCCATTCATTCATCCATTCATTCATCCATTAAACATTCATCCATTCATTCCTTCATTCAACTTTACATACTTTTAATATTCCAGGAAGGAGATATAATAAGAAACCCCAAGCTGGCAGACACTTTAGCCATCATTGCCAAAGAAGGAGCCAAAGCCTTGTATGAAGGGAAAATAGCAGAAAGCATTGTCAAAGCGGTTAGTATTGATTATATATTAAATACAATTCTGTTATTGGGAAGCATGGATGGCGTAGGGTTGAGAGCGCTTGCCTCTAACCAATGCGACCCGGGTTCAATTCTTGACCTTGTCATACATTATGTAGTAGAGTTGGTTTGTTGGTTCTCTCCTGTGCTTCGCAAAAATCAACTCCTAAATTCTAATTCATTCTAGAAAGGGCCTAGATTTACTCTGTGTAATTCTAGTTACCCTACCAAATTTTGTAGTTTTTTATTTAATTTTTTATATATTTTTAAATTAATATATGCAAATTCATGTACGATGTACAGTAGGAAGCATCAGGAAAAAAAACACTCTGATATTTTTTACAAGACTATTTTTCTCTATTCTCCGGTTTACTCATCCTGGGATTTTGTGGGACATTCACTTGCTTATCCAATTCATTCCCATTTGAAAAGAGTGTAAAATAATGTGCATAACATGAGTACAATATGTCACATGCTCTAATTGGCTGAATAATGTACAGTGTACATGTATGCAAAAAGATGTTTCACTGACAAGACACTACTGATAAAAACTAATAAAAAGAAAAAAGAAATTTTCAAAGTAAAAAAAAAAACTAAGTAAAAAAACTTTTTTTCAATAGGATTAGCTTTTATAAAAAGAAAAGTTAAGCATATGTTATTCATGAAAACTTTGATTTTTTAGGTTAAAGAAAGAAATGGAATTCTTTCACTTGCCGATCTGAAGAAATACACAGCTATACTTAAACCAGGATTAAACTCAACATATCAAGGTACGAGCAGCAGCATCAGGCACCCCTGGGGTCTCAGGTTTGATACCTGGCATCGGCATCACATTTGGGGGATTGAAGAAGGTGTAGTGGTAGTGTGCTAAACTTTCACCGCTGAGGTACTGGGTTTCATTCCTGGACTCTGCATCATGTGAGGGGATTGAAGATGGTGTAGTGGTAGTGTGCTAAACTTTCACACCTGAGGTACCAGGTTTTATTCCTGGACTCTGCATCACATGAGAGGATTGAAGATGGCGTAGTGGTAGTGTGCTAAACTTTCACATCTGAGGTACCAGGTTTGATTCCTGGACTCTGCATCATGTGAGGGGATTGAAGATAGTGTAGTGCACACTTACTTTCACCTCTGGCAATCTTGGACAAAACCTGTAGAGAAAATCACTAGTAAAGAAAATCAACATTTTTTTGCTTTTGTCATGAAGAATAATGTACATCCATCTTTCCCCAAAGCAATGTTGTAGGGAAAGAGGCTAATGACTCCTTTGCTTGACCAACCAACATTGCTTCAGGGGGGGAAGGGGGGTTTATTGATCAAAATATACAAAAGCTGGGGACGGTGAAAGTTTTTTTCGTTATTCTCTACCCTTTTGTCTAAGATTGGGGGTTTAGGTCTTGATTCCTGGACTTGGCATCATGTCATTTAGGAGTAGAGTTTACAGGTTATTGACCATTATTAATTTGTTTTTTTTAGGCTATCAGATTTTGACAGTACCTCTTCCAGCTAGTGGACCTGTGCTCATCTCTGCACTAAACATTTTAGAAAGGTTTAATCTTACTAAGAAGGACCAAGGAAAGAACACTACTTATCAGTATTTGATAGAGGTGAGAGACTGTTGGCGAATCTCATATCTGTCCATCTATGGATCTTTATCACAAGGCAGCCATGTTTATTCTCATGATGAGAAAAAAAAACCTTTGTTTCACCCGCATAATTTCCCCCCCTAGCACTTGAATGTGAGGCCACTCCTAGTCAAATCTAATGTTCAAACATGGTTGCCACATGAAAGAGGTTGCTATATCCATTCATTCATCCATTCATCAATCCATCCATCTGTTTATTCCTATCTCTCTTTTTCTCTTGCTATATCAATTCATCAATCAATCTATCTTTCTATCTGTTTTTCCATATATCAATCCATTCGCTCACGACATATCTTTATCCAGTCATCTCAGTGGTGGATCTAGGGGTGGGTTTTGGGGGTTGCAACCATCATAAGACCTACTTCCATTTGGGAACCCTGTGCTACTTTCACGCCAAATAAGTACCTCAACCAATGCTACAACCTCCCCTTTGAAAAAATCCTGGATCCGCCCCTGCATCTATCCATCTGTCGATCATGTGATCAATCTCTCCCTCCTCCCTTCTCTTGCTTCATGGATCAATCCCATTTATCCATCCATCCATTCACACCATCTAAAGTCCAAATAATTCAGCCCCCAAGTGCACAGTGCCGGTAGATGAACGTTTCTTCCTTTCCTTCCCCAGGCCTTTAAGTTTGCCTATGCACAAAGAACCCATCTTGGAGATCCTTCAGATCCTCATAATGCTGATGTACTTAAATTTGTTGATAAAATGACGAGGTATGTAAAGGTACACTAATAGTACTGGTTCGTTTCTATTCATGAATTACTTTATTTAAGATACTCCAGTTGCAGTGTTGACCTGGAGAGACTGCATGAATATTATTTGAATGATTAACATAGGTGTATCTAGGTTATGTGTTATAAAATGTTTAAACCAACCAGGTAATTCCAACATAAAAGAGGTCTCCAGCAACCTTTTTAGAAATAGGTATATATCAGACATTGTTCAAGCTGTTCTTCACCTTCATTTCAGCAAAAAGAATGCAGAGACAATCTACAGGAAGATATTTGCAAACAAGACATTCCCTCCATCTTATTACTCACCTGCTTCTGATGAGGTGAAGGACAACGGAACAGTGCACGTGTCTGTTGTGGGCCCTGATGGAGAAATAGTCTCTGTTACAAGGTATAGTGCAATATTAGAATCTTTATTTTTTGATGATACAGTCGCTCTTTTCATCAATCCATCTGTCCATCCCATCCATATATCTATCCATCTATCCCATCCATATATCTATCCCATTCATATATCTATCCAATCCATCCCATCCATATATCTATCCCATCCATATATCTATCCATCTATCCCATCCATATATCTATCCCATCCATATATCTATCCAATCCATCCCATCCATATATCTATCCCATCCATCCCATCCATATATCTATCCCATCCATCCCATCCATATATTTATCCCATCCATCCCATCCATATAATCATCCCATCCTCCCATCCATATATCTATCCCATTCATCCTATCCATATATCTATCCCATCCATATATCTATACCATCCATCCTATCCATATATCTATCCCATCCATCCCATCCATATATCTATACCATCCATCTGTCCATCCCATCCATATATCTATCCCATTCATTCCATCCATATATCTATCCTATCCATCCCATCCATCTACCCATTTATCCCTTCCATCTATCTTTCCCATAAATCCATCTGTTCATCCCATCCATCCATCCTTCCATCTGTCCTTTCATCCTATCCATCTATCCATCCATCCATTCATTTTCCCTTCCCCATACACTTGAGATTCAGAGTCTTAGAAGGGTCTATTTATTAACAATGTATTAGTATCTTATGGCACCAATCAGAGCTCACTTTATATCTTTGAAATCAGGTATATTACTGGTATTTTAAACCAGTCAAAACATTTATATTTTCTGTTTTTCAGTTCTGTGAATGGGTACTTCGGTTCGTATGTCATGACTGATACAGGAATCATCCTCAACAATGATATGGATGACTTTTCTTCTCCTGGCATTGATAATCAGTTTGGAATCCCCCCATCAAAGGTGTGGTTTTATCCCTTAACTACCCTATGAATGCCTTCAAGAGCCTTGCTCGCTTCTACAAAAAAGAAGCACTGGAGCGAGAGAACTCTCTGGAGACGGAATTTTTTCTTGTGTTTCTCTTTTTTTGTGGGTAAAGGTGATCGATGTCATGTGCCGATCTTTTGTTTTATCCTCTTGTGGTGAGCTGTTAATATCAATAGACATCATTACAGTAACAGAGCTCTTTTGCCCACTTGATGTACCATAATGCCTTGCGATCCAAGATGGCCGCCTTAGTATTCAAAGTAGTACTTCGTCAAAGTAGTCCATTGCGAATGCATTTTTTGGCCCTATATTGCGTAAAAGTGCACGATACCTGCGTTAGTGGGATTCCTTGAGTTAACAATTCTTGGTGCTGTGGCTGATTTGATGAATGATATGACGGGCATTGGATGATCTAAAGTCCCTTGTGTTGTGTGTTTTATTCGCAGGCAAATTTCATCAGGCCAGGCAAGAGGCCTCAGTCGTCAACTGTACCAGTCATAGTCAGACACAAGCAAGTAAGTAACAGTGAGTTATTCATTCATCCATTCATCCATCCATTCCACCTTCACTTCTCACTTTAATCTCAATTGGACTCTCTGTGATTTTTGTAGGTTCCTGCTCGAGTTAATAAAAATAATCTGAGAGTGGACCAAAAAAAATAAAAAAATTTACAACCACCACTCCCCATACGGGGCTCTTCCGTGAGGTTCCACACTCACTACCACTACATTCTATATTCACAACATACAACACTCAACTCACATGTTGAATTTTACGGAGGGATGAAACCGGAGAACCCGGAGAACCCGGAGAAAAACCCTCGTGGCAAGGGAGAGAACAACACATCAAACAAACTCAACTCACATAAGATCCATTCTGAGGCGGGACTCGAACCCGGACCACAGCGATGAGAGGCGAGCGGTAAACCACTATGCCACTCGTTGACAACAAAACTGATGTATGATTTTTCCATTTTTATTCCAGGACCCTTGTGCTTTTCGACTGGCTGTGGGTGGGTCTGGTGGCTCTCATATCCCAAGCGCTGTCATACAAACGTTAATTAATATATTATCATTCGATGACACACTCAAGGATGCTGTGGAAAGACCACGAGTACATCATCAGCTTATACCCAATGAAGTTGAAGCAGAAGGTGAGATTTTGATAGAGAAATTGGATGGATTATTAAAGTGAACGGGAAAGTGGGAATGGAAGAAATAAAAAAAAAGGAAAAATAGAGAAAGAAAAGGAAAGGGGAATCGAAAAGATGCCAAAATCAAGCGAAAGAAAAGTAAAAACGAGAGAAAATGAGAGAATGAATGGAAAAGCAGAAAAACACTAAGAAAGAAAAGAACAATATCATTGAAGTTAGGACAATTGAATGGAAAGCAAGAAAAAAAGAAAGAAAGCAAGCGAAAGTATGAAAGGAAGGAAGGAGGGAAGGAAGAAAAAACAGAAGGAAAGTAGGAAGGTAAGAAGGGAAAGGGAAAGGGGGAGGGGGGGGGGGAGAGAGAAAGAAAGAAAAGGAAAGAAAATAAAACGAGAAAGAAAAACGCTTTAAAATCTCCTTTAAGTTTGAATCATTTATTTTCTACTTTCAGGAGATAAATTTAAGTCTTGGAATCAAGAAGGTGTCCTTGAATATCTAAAACAAGTTGGTCATGTGGTCAACACGTTAGACAAATCTCGAAGTGATGTAAATGTAGCTCAAAATTACCACAACATACTACGAGCCCACAGTGACAGCCGAAGAGGAGGCAGCGGTAGTGCGATGTACTAATGAATTGCTGACTACAATTGGTATTATTGGGACCATCAGGCCCAAAACCTACTGCTTTAGTTATTAGCCAATCACATTCAGACTTGGAAAAGACCCCGCGAGTTTGTCATCACACTAACCAATCAGATTTCGCTATTCTCATTGTTGCACCAGAAAAATCAACTCGGAATCTTGGGCCTGCGTAGCGGCTCTTTGTTTGGGGATTTGGGGCGAACGAAGTAGGGATTGGGTCCCTTGCCTTAAACCCCCAAACAGGGTCGCTACACAGGCTATAGGATAGAATATGTAGATATTGGTATCAATTTTGGAATAGCTGAGAGTTTAAACATTTTTAAGTTTTAAAAACTTTCAAAGATAATGTTTTTCTTAACTTAGGCACTCTTAAACAAGCAAGTCATAATTAATCCTCTGCAATTTTTATAACCATGATATCTAACTAAATGTAATATATATTTATCCTAATTTAAAAGAATATTATAACACCAATGGTTATCCTGTGGCGCCTGTTGACGGGGAGGGTCTGAGACGATGTAATTTATCTTTGCCACAAGGAACCCGCCATAATATTTCAATGTTATATACCGATCTTTATTTAAAAAGCGTTACACTTACGTAAGTAAATTCTATATTCAAATAACACAGCTGTTTTTATATTCTGACAAACGCTAGAGGTACTGATTCTACACTTTTCTATAATGTTTTTTTAAATAGATATATGAGGGCGAGACATCCCTCATGTCCGATAGGTAATCCCTGGGGAGCGCGAATAGAGTACGCTAATTATTCGTTGGTTCGATTCCCGGACCAGCCATCACTTGTGAGTGGAGTTGCCTTTTCGTTCTYACATGTGCTCCAACATTTTCTCCGAGCTCTCCGGTTTTTTCCCTAAACAAAAACCAGCTTCAAATTTCAAAAATTTCATTGGACCATAGAGATAGACCTTATCAAAACCATTGGATAACTAGTGTGTTTTTAACATTCAAGGAAAGCTACTCCAGGGATCGGAGGATCGGCAGGGGAATGGAAAATAAGATTCCAGCACTTTGGATCGTGACGTATTTTCGGATCCGACAACTGTTGGCAAAAACCGCTAAAATCAAACAAAAATCTCCCAATAACCTCCACCCTCGCTCATTAAACAAAAGAACTTTAGAAAAAAACTCATTTTATCAAGAAAAAATAGAAAAAACTGTAGAACTGCCTTTCCTTTTTTTTTAATTGTGACGTAATCCCAACGAAAAACGACTTCCGGTTCCAAATAAAACTGATATATTAAATTTTGGATTTTAATTCAGTTGTTTGTGAATCAGAGCCGTTTTCTTTACGAGCTCAAACGACTGAAAGATTCCTTAATAAGTCCAGGTGAAGGAGGGAAATAGCCATCGTATCAATAAGATTCAATTTCAGAACGGTTGAAGTCAGTAAACAAGTGATAAAAGCCCTGACGACAACAAGGCTACGCAATTCTCTTGGTATTTTCGCTATTTCGGGTCACGTCCTATTCTTGCTGACAATTTTTTTTAGAGGATAGGTGCATTCCTAAAACTGGAAACGACTCTTTTTAGGGTCGCTGTTTTGTTAACAGACTGATCGGAGTACTTGTAACTAAAAGATAAATTTAATTTTCAGGCATGCAGTGACGTTACCCTGATCATGGTCTATATCTCAGGAGACGAGACCGGTTGAGGAGGATTTCCTGGAAGTAAAATCAGGATTTGAGGTCTGATCTGAAAGTATTAATATAGGTTGTGACCTATTTCCGGGACCAATCACACAAAAAATCGCTAAAATCTTTCCACAACTTATTCCCAGGATTTATTCACCTCCAACAATTAGATATGTAAACAGAATATCCTGCTATGAAGAAAAAACACAGAAAAATATCTGTAGAAGTAATTTTGGATTCTAAGAAAAGTTTTGCAGCCCTTTTCAACACAAAACCAACGACTGAGCCACATTGACACGTTAACGGCTAGTTTTTCAGTTTGAACTGTTGCCAAAACATGCCGCGTAGCTCGCGATAAAAGTTACAGGCGCATGATCGAGTTGAAAGTACTTTTACTTTTTCGTCAACTTTCGTCTCGCGTTTCACAAGGATTTAGCTTTGAAAATTTGAATTGCAAGGCCATTGCAAAGAAGTTAACTAACATTTTCACCGGATATAATATAAACTCAGTCGCTTCACTTGATTATAAATGTTGCTAGCGACGGGTTCTTTGTATTGTTCTATATATGAAACCTAGCGCTATATTTAGGTGACCTTCGTTGTTTGGGAACTACTTCATGTCTTCGTTTCATAAAGTCGCGTTGAAACCCCTGTTGAAACGGATGAACAAAGATCGAAATAATCTTACTTAGAAAAAAAGAGTCAAAAAAGGATTGATGACTGTTGTAGTATTTTTCTTCTTTTCAATAACACATAGGTTGCTGTTGAGATATCTAGTTTTGTTTTTAGTCAAAGCCAATTAATGACACAAACCTTGATTATTCCCGTTAAGATATATGCCCATAGTTCCTTTCGGTCGTGCAATCGCAAACCTGATCGCTTATATAAGGTGGGGAATAGGCAATTGGTCGCTAAAGGATTTCTTTTTTTTTTAGTAGAATCAGGAAGTGAGTGACAGTCAGTCAAGGTAAGCCTGTTTTATGAAAATAATTATAACTTTTTAAAATCGGAATTTTGTGTTGGGATTGACATTTCAGCGAAGGTTTTCTTACAAAATTCTGAAGTTATTTCCTTGAAACCGTCACAGTTTCGCTGATTTCAGCCACGGTTAACATTTGTCTGTTTATTTTTTCTGTTTACTAATATTCAGAATAAAATATTTTAGGTATTAAAAGAGTACATAAAGTTGTATGTTGACGACTTGGGTCAGTGAACTAGTAAAAATCAACTTATATCATGAATGCAAAAATGTATCTCGTTTCTCAGCTCCCTTTTATAATTGCTAGTCAATCCTAAAGTTCACTAGTCTCCCCCACAGCCGCTTTCAGTGTCGTCGCGCAAAGTTATTTCTAGATGTTTGTTTCATTACTATTTTTCTTGTTTGTCAGTTGAACATGTGCATGTAAACATGTCAATCCTCAGTAGTCAGAGCTCAAGGCGAAGCCAGACTAATAATTGACTTTAAATCATCTCTCTTTCACAATATCTATGTCAATGAATTTAACTTAGACTTGTTTGCTCCAGTTGGTCGTTATATATTAGTCTAGCATGTCGAGAAAACGAAGCCTTTTAGAAAGCTTACATGCAAGTTTATAAATTAATAAATTAAAAGATGTATCCTGACTGCAATCGGCATCTTTTCACTATATGCAAGGTCTTTTTTATTTTTGATATTTGATTTTTTTTTTTTTTTTTGGACAAATGATGTAAAAGCCTGTTCAACTTAAAAAGTCACTGGTATATTGGTTGTGTTTTAATTTTTTTCCTGTTATGTAGAAAACACTCAGGAAAGCAAACAGGGGGGAAAAAACACTCATTTTGCCTGTTTTTTACGAGTTCAACTTGATGAAAATTTCTCCATATTGAGCGAGTTTGATTTTGCTCACACTATTTTCTATCATTTCTGGGAATGCAGAAAACTCTAGTTAAAGAAACAGGAAAAACGTTCTTTGGTATTACGTCATTTGGCCCGTCTGTTTTCACAGAGTATAAGGTAAGAATTAAATTATTTACTTTATTTCCTGCTGCTCTTTTGCTGTTTCAGCGCGTTTTTCAATGCGACACGTTAAACCCTGCTAGTGAAAAAGTACATTCCGGTTAGGAGGGAATTTCCGCTCTTTACAATTTACTAAGCTCTAGCCTTTTAGAATGATAAACATCCTTGATTGAGAGTACTGTAATATTGGCACTTTTGATAAAAATTCGAAACGTTGGAAATATAATTAATTGCTGTGTTATCTATTGATTACATTTTCGAATCTAGAGGCAAATATTTTGAAGTTTGTAAGCAACGAAACATGTTACAGGCGAATGAATTTTTTCAAGAAACTTCTATAATAACTACATATAGAGACTCTAATATTTTTTCAATTATTGCTATCATATATTACCATAGTTTTTATCATCATTTAAGAAATGTAATAGCATTTGTTACTTCAAGAAATTTTGAACATTTTGAACAATTTTGAACATTTTGTAGATGCATGTTTATATAACTTAAAGTAGAGTTTAAGTTTCTGTGAAACCCAGGTACTCTGTCTGAATCGGCTTTGCGAGCACTAGCAGTAGCCACGGTTTGGGGCTCTGATGGGTCGGCTTGGACAGAGTGCGAGGGTTTCTATATATATATAATTATTTCTATATTTTAGGTTTGAAAATTCATTGTAAAGCGTTATAGAGTGTAATATATAACGCTATAGAAATTCATTGAATTATTATTATTATTTATTATCATTAAAGCACAACATGTTTGTTATGATATAAGTAAAAAGTTTGGGGCAAAATTTGAAATTTTGGACGAAGTGCAAACGCACCACTTTTAGTTCCTGTCAACTGGCTTTCGTGCCTTATTAACCAATCAAAAAGCTCTAAGAATCAGGCCTTCCAATCACAGTACAACGGGAGGAAAAACACGGGACATTTGATTTCTGTTATTTGCACTTGAAAACTTTTTTAAGCATCGTTTAAGTTAATGCGCTTGGGTGATTCAATATTATGACCAAATCGAGTCTACGAGTTTACCTATGCCTGACTGTGACAAGGAACTAATGTCTTATCAAATCCAATCAAAATGAATGATCACCATTCTGCGATGTTTAAACGAGAAATCTTTAAAAACAGGAAGAAAAGGAAAGAAAAACACCGGATGTCATTGAAAAGTTTATGAAACAGGAAAATCAACAAAGCTGAACTGAGCAGAAGCTACAATACCTCCGAAAGGAGGTCAAGTCATTTCTGTTCTTTTTTCTTATATTCTCTCTTTTGCTAAGGTTTTCTGATTAAATACAAAAAATTTTTGCCGAACAGGAATGCTATTAATGCATTATTTATATCGAACTTTTTATTCGTACATGCAAGACGCGAACTGATGGTGATCTAAGCGATCGATGCAAGCGTTAATCAGAAAAACCAAGATTCTCCTTGAATCCCGTGAGAGCACAATAACTTATGCTTATATCTTGCGATCTTCATGTTAAAGGTCTCTATCGACTTTATAAGTGCCCGATGCGAGCTCAATTGCAAAGATTTTGCAAAATTGTCAGTCACTAGACCAGCCGGTTAGTCCAGATGCAGGAATCCAAGCGTGCAATTTTGATTGGATGCCAAAGGCTGACGCATGATCCAAACTCTAGGCATAAGTCACTTTACCATAATCTGAATTTTCCCCTTTATTTGCGTTAAGTGCTTCAGCAGAATTTATTCACTACATCACAAAATATCGAATTTTTTTGATATTCAGGTTTCCTAACAAAAACTACTAACTGCATCCACCCCCTTAGAATGATATCATTGATCCGATAAGACATGTTTTATTTTTCTCAGAAGATGGCATTTGAATTTGCACCCCGTTACGATGTCTTTAGGATGATTTCAATGTCTGTGTTGACTGTTCAATCATGCGCGTCTTCATGACCTCTTGACGTCATGTCCATTTTAAAATTGATTGCCCCACTCGGCGCATCAGTCTTCCTTGCTACACTGATCCTTAACATGATCGACGTTTTTACTCTTAACATTATATTCTTTGGGAAACCTCCTCCGATTTACCAACGGCCTTGAAATTCTGGTAAGTGCGGGGTTATAGACTTTAATCAGTCAAGGGCATTGAGAAGGTTTTAGATGCACTGGCCGCAAGGATACTGCCAACTATAGGTAGTTTATGCTAGAGATTTTATGTCTCACTCGAAAGGACTGAATGTTCGACAAAAGTTTTTCTAGAGTTCTCAACTTTAGTGGGTTTCGGTTTGAGTTTGATCCAAGAAAAGGTTTCACACTTTCTTTAGCTTAGGAATAGATTCAATATAAAGAAGAAAACAACCCGCGCTGAGCTGGAAGTCTTGGGACACATTTTATATATGCATTACTAAATTGCGAGGTCAAACGACAAAAAGACAAAAAAGAAATCCTAAAAACGATAACCTTTGGATATAAAAGAGCTCAAAAACTACAGAAACGCTACAGAAGCCAAAGCAACAGTTTGTATCAAAAGATTTCTTATCATACCAAAAGAATATTTGTAGAAATAACAGCACGATCTCGACTGATCACATCAAAGTTTTTTCGGACTTCATGGAATGGCCACGTAGGACTTGGAATTTTAAGAGTGGATTTGATTTTTCAGACGATCTAGAGCTTGTTTTTGTGTGCACTTACGAATTACTGAAGAAAAGAATGGAAATCTGGCTCAAAAATAGACGAGCTAAACGAGAAAATCGATAACGTATTCCGCGTGATTATCCTGTTGAATTCAATAACATACTTATAAAAACATGTCCATCAGAGTGGATCCGACTAGACCAGTTTTAATCGGTCTGCTGAGCTCAAAATTATCAGCTCTTTTTTTTTTTTTTTTTTTT